CCATATAACTTTTGTCTGAAACACTTTTCTGTAAAACTTATATTTCCCGAGATATTTAGGTGTCCCGACCTTTTTGGGACACCCTGTATATCATTAAATATAGATAAAATGTGGAACAAACATTTTTACTTGTGCCGTTTTATGGGAAATGTAACTGTTTAACCAAGTTTAGACCAACGAGTGACTTAAAAAAAAATGTTATGCTAAAACAGATAATTCTATTAACATATAGTAAACATACGCTTCGGCTACTTTCGAGACCTTGATGACGGGCTTGTCCAGTCTGTCTTTCAGAGTCTCAATCTCTTTCTGCAAAAATTCTATCGATGAGGTCGTACTCGATTCTGGAGACGGTGATATTCTGCCACCCGCGACGCCCAGTTGCAAATGCTTACTCGGTTGTGTGACAGTTTTGTTACTACGACAAGCCTTCTTAATATCCAGCTCTGTAGTGTTCACGCATCCGGGCTGAAATGTATAATTAAATCGAGATTCGATATATAATATCTAATAAAATATCCATCTAATAAAATAATATCGATCTAATAAAAATGTTTCTCTTATCCCAGCAAACGGAAACGGATTAAAAATTTTTTTTATTGAAACGGATTGAAATTTTCTAAACCATGGATTGAAATGGATTGGCCTTTGTATAGAAATGCATTAATTACTGTTATTGTAATCTGTAATACGAAATTGCAGTGTTTGCTTTTACTGTATCTTTTTGATTCGCAAAAGTATAGAGAATAAAAATTATATATCACAAAAAGAATTATTGTTGCGAATAAAAGACTTTTAAATAAAAAATTCGTTTTTTAAGATTTTTTTCAAAATTTGTAAGTTTTCATCAATCAAATCTGGATATTAATAACGATATATAAAATTTATTTTTCACTTTCTTTTTTACTTTACATTTTATATGAATAAATATGAATTAGTCATAAAATAATTATAAAATATTCACAAATAAATATTTTTAAAAGCCCACAAGTTTGAATAAATATTTGAATGAATATTTTCTTAATGTGGAAATTTTGAATGAATATAAATTGTATTCCAATAACGAATTTTTTGTATTCACCGAACACACTAATTATAATCCATGATTTGAAACTTCAATCTATTTCCGTTTAGTGGGTATTTTTCATTATTTATATAACGCAAAAATTAATCGTCTTTAATATTATATTTATCAATGAGAAAATATGTAAATATCTTTTTTTATTTATTATTCTAACGTAAGATCGAATAATATATACACATATATTACCATTGGTCGATGTACATCCCAGAAGGCTCTCTCTTGGCTATCCAGGACTTTTCTTTCTAATTTATCTCTTTTCTTGTCAACTTTGCTTTGCGCTTCTGCCTGCATAAAAATAAATTCCCATTTTCGCGAAAACATCTTCTGCAACCTAGCCAGGTTTTCCGCCTCGTAATCCGCCAACTCCAATCGCGTTTTATTCTGCATCGTCCTTTTGCATAAATAGACAGCTGTAACATTTAACGTGGTACGCACCAACGGGTGTGTTATTATATAATAATAACACGTATATATAGCTTGATATATAGATCGGTAAAATCGATAATGGGAAAAAGTACCATATTCCTTCTCAATCAATTATTTTTAAACGAGATCGGCAAACAAGGACTTTAGAAATAACTTGTGTATATAATTATTAATTATGTTTTCATTGTCAATTAAGTTTATGACAGACACAAACGACACAACTACGACACTAACGATAATATTAATATTTTTAATTTGTACCATAATCAGTGTTCTCGGGTTCCCAACAATTCGATGGCCAAAAGTACGGCGTTTGAAACCTGTAGAATGTGTTGTCGTTCTTTACGGTAAGGCAGTGGTCGTCGATAGGAAAAAAATATCCATGAGATGCCATGAGGTGAGCCACGTGAAGAGCCTCTGGATTAACATACCCAATATATTGTACGCTTTAGATTATATTAATCATGTGAATTGGATCGCCAAGGATTTATATAAACTAAGAAAATAAATTTTATACCTTGATCATCTATATCCATGCTCTTCATCATCCATGCTATTAGATCTGTGCCTGAAATATGAATTGTATATTTATAGTTATTTTATTTGTTTCTGTAATTCTCGATTAAAATAACGATGCTTGCGGTCCAAATTTATGTCTTCAGAGAGGCTTTAAAAATAAAAAAATTTAATTTTCGCATTTTCTTTTTTTTTCATTTTAAATTGACAATTAGAGATGTAAAAAAAGTTTTTTTCTAATAGAAAAAAACATTAGAAAAAAACGTGTTTTATTTTATTGAAAAAATACAAATTTGATTTTTTTTCTAATTTCGATAGCACGACTAATTAATTGTAAATAGTAATTATATAATTATGTAATTAATTTTAATGTGATCTACTTTTACAAAAGGAGAATTTTTTAAATTCTTTTTCTAAACAGCTTTTTCTTAAGTAGAATTTATTATAATTATTCATTGAAGTCCTTGCTCCAAAATATGTTTTAGAATCAATATATTGGCTTTCTCGTTCTGCGTTAAGGTTAAAATGATGATTATTTAAATCTACTATCTATAAAATAAAAAATCATGAAAAATTAACTCATATTAAGCAAAATATAGATATTAAATAGATAGCTGAAAAAAACAAAATTTTGGAAAAATACAACTTTTTAAGAAAAAAAAAACATAAGCTTCGTATTTTATAAAAAAAATTTGGTTTGTTTCTATTTACATCTCTATTGACAATGAAAGGTCATACAATATTAAAATAAAAGTCTGTCTTTTACCTGTAAAAACAGACGGCGTCTTCGTCATGAAAGTCTTGACTGTTTTTACGGGCACACCGGTAAATTCGTCCAACATCTTTTCCACGATCGATTCCATCTGAAAAAAATAATATAGCTATTTTATATCGAATATAACGATACTTGAAAAATTGAGCAATAATACACGATTTGGTTTGAAGAATGAATTATTAAAAAAATAATTTCAGAGAATAATTTAAATTGCATTAAAGTCGAACAGGTATTTCGCTTCAAAACTGCAAATAAAAGCCCTCTGATCTTATCCGTAAATAATACCTTTTTATAGACGAGGTAATTAGGGGTGTCTTCGGCGCAAGAGGCAGTGACGTTGTACGTTGGGGTATTGGGAGACAAATCAGGGGAATCGTTCGTGTGACCGTCCTCATTCCTTTTATCTACATCATCGACATGCTCGGGCGCCTGCTTATTCTTGCTGCTATTACCGCTGCCACTTTTCTCTATTGGTTTTCGGCGACAAGCCGATTTTTCCGAGTTCATAGTTACCATATCCACTCTATACGTGAAACAGAACATTTTTGTACGGCGTTAAAGGCGTTGCGATAAAGTGAATATAATAAATCTTTGTGTAATTTAAGCGCAGATCGTAATCACAATACAAAAAGTTTTATGACAGATCTAACAATAAAAAATCGAATTAAAATATAGAATCAATAAAATTTATTTGATTTTCACACAGCTATTGAAATCAGAATAAAAATCTAACTAGGAGAAATAGATCAGTCAAGAGAAATTTTTAATATAAATTAACTCGCAAATCTTTTATTTTATTCCAACAATAAATCGAGCGCTAGATTTTTTATATTAATGATGTATGAAATTTTGCACAATATATTGTTCGTTGAACACACGGTGGCACAGAAAGATCTCAATATATCTTAATATATTCTTGCGCAATTTTTCTCGCGTGAGTAAAGAGTTTCCACAACATCGATCCCAGTGACCAATTATCTAATTACGATACAGAAAGTCCCGCAGGCCTGACGAACTATTTTTTATCCATGGATTCTTACAATTTCTATAGTAGATTTTTTCCAACAAGAATATATTAAAGGATTGACAGAGTTCTTGAATTATAACGCTCATTTGTTACAACACTAATAAAGTTTTTCTGAAAATAAATTTAAATGTTTTGAATCATTAAAAATAAAATATTAATTTCGATAATGCAATTTTGATGTAATAACTAATGTTGTAGAAGAATAAAAATATGCAGTATTTGAAAAGTATGTTAATACTTTTTTCTTTCTTTTCACCTCCTTTTTTTCAAGTTATTTAAAAATTCGACAATTTTTTAGTTATGTCAAATGTTTGAGTTGGAGCAAACGAGCGATAAGACGTCGTTGTCCAAGATATATGACATATGAGACAGCATCTATCGTTTATACGGTCTATTTAACCGCCACCCCTCTTCCCTGTGTCGCCGGATACTCGAGAGGGCGGCTGAGAAGGGGATATCGGCAAGATATTGTCTCCCATACGTCAATCTCGGACGCCGGATAGAAACGCGAAGAGATGAAAGAACAAGAAGCAAGTCACGCACGTCTGTACGTTTTATTAAAAAAATTAATAACACCCGCGCTTAAATCATATAACGATTATCAGCGAAATAAAGATATTATTAACAAAAGTACCTTATATTATATTAAACATAATAATAATATTTCGATATAAAAAAGTATCCGGAATCGATAAACGGGCTTTTTTTTTTATATTCAGCTTGAAAACCTACCTGAATTGTGACACCTTGAGATCCGCCAATCTGTTCTTAAATTGAAAGTCACATACCGCCTGGCACGTCACAAGATTAATTATTATCGACGCATCGTCTCTCTCCCGTTATGTTCACATAAACACCGCAAATTCATGTGACGTTTCCAAAAAAAATTTTCGATCTTTCTGCTCGACGGAGAGAATCAACAGTAACACGATTGACAGAGGTAAATCGAGTTCGCAGCATCCGGGATGTACGACAGGCGTCGCGCTGTAACAACCCTTTCACTGTACGTCACACAACACGGAGCACCCTCTTCCGCGGAAAGTAACGCGCGGGCGTCATATTTACATCCAAGACAGCTAATCGAGGGACCTCCCGGACGAGTCTGAGCGAACGTTCTCCAAATTCATGTTCCTTTACACTTCGCAGGGAGGAGCGACGCTTCGGGGAGCCTCGAACTAATCATCGACTTCCCACATCTCGGATAACGGCACAGAGAGAAAGAGAGAGATGGAGAGAGAAGAACCGACAAAGAGAGAGAGACAGTTGTATTTACGATGTAATCGCACTTCTCGATGGATTCGCGTGTTGACCCGTGCGCGAGGAACAGGTCAAGATAGTAGGGGCTGAAGGTGTGCGCGCGCCCCTTTCATGATCTACGCAGCGGTTTGTGTTTCCTAAGGGCGCACATTGGATTGACTGTCCTCATGCGCCGCGAGGCTGCGAGTGCGCAGGTTTCGAGCGCGGCCGTTTTGGTCTTGTGCCAGGGTGAGGATCGAAATCCCGTAGTTTGCATGAGCGGCGCCGGGAATAACCAGTCGATAAACCGAGACGCGGCTGCGCCCGAGTGATCGCGCCGAATCGCACACGTACCCCGCGTTTCTGAAAGCGCAAACGTCTCAATTTTCAATTTCCACTCATAGATTTGCATGTATTTTAATTTTAACAATCATGTAAACGAATACAAATTCTCATTGTATATATATTTACACATTTCTTACTACATTGCTGCAAAAAAAATATATATGTACACACATTTGTAATTGCAATCTTATTTAAAGTAGATAGATGTTTATTTAAATTCAGCAGATAGATATATATTTAAATAAAAGAAAAAAACAATAACTCATTTTATGCTTCAATTTTATAATTTGTTTTAGCTTGTCTCTAATTATTATATATATTTTGAATACTTTTGAATACGTCGAATTGCGAGACTTTTGAGAGATATTTTGCAACATAAAGAAAAAAGAATATATTTTTTATTTGCGGAACTAATTTTATTTAATATTGAAATAAAAGAAAAAAACAATAGCTCATTTTATGCTTCAATCCTATAATTTGTTTTAACTTGTCTCTAATTATTATATATATTTCGAATACTTTGTCGAATTGCGACACTTTTGAAAAATATCTTGGAAAGTAAAGAAAAAAAAATATATTTTTTATTTGCGGAACTAATTTTACTTATTTCCATTTAAGAGCGATGCATGATATGTCGTGTAGATATTACTTTACTCAAACAGGATTAAAAATGCAATATTTCATATGAGTGTGATGGATTATTTATTCAAATAATTCACAATTTTTTCGAGTTTTTATTAACAGAACTTTTGTACACATTCTTTACTACTCTGTTGTTGCAAAATGTCTAATCTTGCTTAGTGTCTATTTTGGCTGTCGATTGGTTTTCCTGAAACATATAAACAGCAAGAAATAAATACAACATTTATAAACATTCCAAAAATTGACGTATAGAACAAAGTAAGATTATTGCACAAAAGCAAGACAAAAATTATCAGCAAGAAATGTGATAGGAAAAAAAATGAGCGCAGACACCTAAGTTTACTTCCATCTAAATCAATTTCTTCAAGTGCCTGTATTCGTATCTGCCAAAGGCGCGGGTGACGGTTCAGCTATCGGTTCAGACCTTTCTTCGGTGTTGTGAAATGTTACGGACCGAACAGGCTTTTCGCTATCTTGATCGACATTTGCATAAGCTGGGCACATAACAATTTTTTCTTTTAAAGGAACTACTCCGTGACAGTATTTTGCAAAGTATCAGCAATGTGTTCGCAGTATATAATTATTTTTATAGCGCGTATTGATTTCTTCTACATATGATTTTTTTTTTAAGAAATTAATTTTAATAATCAACAGTTGAAAGTAAGTGTTGAAAGTAACAGTTGAAAATGTTTTTAAAAAAGATACTAATAGTATCTTTTTTAAAAGCATTTTCAATTAAAAAAAATAAATGGGAACTGCATTAACAGGGTGGGTACTCAAATTTTAAAAGAATTCCCTGAAAATTCCCGGATTCTCCAGGAATTTTATTCAAAATTCCAAGTGAGATTAGAGAATTTCTCAATACAGCTTTAAAATAAATTAGGCACTAAGAGTTCTAATAACGTATGAAACTTGATGCGTAAAACAATTTAATCTTCGCATATATACAATAATTACATCTCCATGCAAAATTTTTCGAACGTAACAAAAGATTTTGTATGGAGATGTAACTATATATGTGAAGATTAAATTGTTTCACGCACCAAGTTCTGCGTTATTGGACTCTTAATGCCTGATTTATTATTTCCGAATCATCGTTTTTTAGATTGAAGAGTATATATGTCAATTTTGAAATAAATTAACTTTCAATATATCAGGAGCCTTTGATATGAAACCACGTTTTCTTTCTAAAGGGATAAAATTTAAAAGTAAAATTCAAAAAATTTCCCCGAGTAACGGTAAAATTCCATGAGAATCCACGATTTTCAAGGGTAAAAATGAAGTTTCCTGAGAATTCCAGATTTTCCCGGTAGTACCCACCCTGATTAAGCAATACAGGGGGAGGGGGGGGGAGGTGTAAGAAGAGGGACGATGCAATAGAGAGAAATTTCTTCGTTGCATCCTACCTCCTTGTTACCGCTTAGAGATGTGTACGCGTTCTGCGTAAAACTACCAACAGCAGTGGCCACTGCTGAACCTGTGACAATCGTTAAATCTACAAATTCCGAAAAAGATGTTGGCATTTTCGGCATTTCCGGCAATGTGATTTGCAGCTGTCGATTGTCACCCGGTTTGACTGGAAATTATTTGTATAATGAAGCATCGATATATTTACATGTCCATGTGTTACGTCATTGACAATTACGTTCCGTCTTCAATTCTTTTTTTTTTTTTTTTTTTTTTTGAAAGCTGGCAGTTTTAGTGTACGGTAGTTTGTACAAAAATAATCTAATGTCTATTATTTACCACCGTAAACAAAATTGTAGCCGACGTTCACGTAATGCTTAACCACATCAAATCCCTCCTCCGCCTTCTTGGGGTAACAGATAGCCGCCATGCCAAGCGCGCCCGCGCTGAAATACATTAATCGCTTGAATTTGCGTCCTCGAAGTCCGAGCACCAATCCGGCCATTCCACCGATCGCGATAGCGCCCATTCGTGGCATAACGTTACTTTCCTCACGCAGATAGTCTAAGAGCGCTGCAAAAAAAGTATACAACGTTGTAAATAACATTGTAAATTGTAAAAGAATTCTACAAAAGGTATATTCAGGGTTGGGTAAGTCAATATTTTTTAAAACTAAGTTAAGTTAAAGTCAACAGTCTTAAAAATTTAACTTGGTTAAGATACAAGTTAGTCTACGCAATAAAATTAATTGAATTAAAAGTCAAGTTAATAAAAAAAAAGCAATTTGGAAAGTTAAAAAGTTAAATTTTTTTTATTTTATAATTCTAGAGTTTCTAAACAGAGTGTACATTTGTATACTTATTTCTGTCGAACCGCGGGGAGGTTCCAAAGAGAATCGATTTTAAAGGATTTCAAAGGACTTCTTTCAATATGATTTAATGGATGGAAGATCCGCGATCTCTGATTCCTTCCTGCGGCCAGACTATATTTATTATATTACAACAATTGCCTCGACGTGCGTTCTCAAATTCGAGTTTGAAAACACCAATGCGGATACGTATTTTATTTTAGGCTTGCAGGAAAAGCTAAAAATGTAACTTCAAGAAAGTTAAGATAGTTACCGATAAAAATGTAACTGAATTAAGTTGAGAGTCTAAAATGCAACTAAGTTACAAGTTCAAATTATTTAACTTTTTAACTACAGGCACATACCGTACCCAATCCTGAGTATATCTAAATACATGTTTAGTTGTAGCGCTCACATCTGCTGTGTTCGACACCGACGTCAATGGTGTCCGAGACAACGTCAGCGTAATGGTGATACTCCGACATGGCTGCTTCAATCGACTTGCGAATTTTGGATACGTTCTGCTCGAGGGCCGAAGGTGGACACCGCGTGCTGTTACACAAAATGTAATAACAAACATTACATAAAATAGGTAAATGCGTGCATGGGCGTCCACAGGGGGGGGGGGAGGGGGAGAGGCATTTGCCTGCTCCTGAAATCAAACGAGTATAAGAAAATTCAGAATTTGCTCTGAAACCATACTTGAATCCCAAGGAACTGAAATCCGAAGGGTATAAAGAAGAATTTGCTCTTATTTTTACAAATAATAAATACGTTTGTCAAATGTGAGAGAAATACATCATGCAGGTACACGACGTTTGGACATTTGCTCCTCCTGGTAGTTCATATCAAAAATTTGGATCATGCCCCTCCCCCTCTAGGAAAAATCCTGCGGACGCCCTCGAGTGTTGCGATAGAAACGTCAATTCTTCCGTATACCTAAATTTTCAATCGCGCTCCCTGCTTCTCTAACAACAGTTTTATCAACAGGATTTGAAATAACATTTTCGTAATTACCGTTGAATGAAATCTCTTGTAATAGTAATAGCTGTAATTGAAATTACTTGTGCTTTACCATGAGGTCTGCTCAGAGTAATCGTCAAGGGAATAGATAGGCAGTTCGGATGGTCGAACCAGCCTCTTGACTCCTGGCTTGCTAGGCATCCCGTCGTCCGACTGACTTGCTGCTGGTTTTATCACGGGCACCGCGCATAGCCCGCAGGGCATCAAGATCTTCTTGAAAAACTTGACAAGCAAAACAGTGCGCTATGTTTAGTATTATTATTACACACATTGTGACATACCTACGTTAAATATTTCGTACACACAGAAGCTTGCGTGGAAATTTATATAATACCCAGGGTTGGGAAAGTTACTTTGTAAAAGTAACTAGTTACAGTTTTTGTCTCTCAAAAAGTAATTAGTTACCGTTACAAGTTACCGACTCTGAAATGTAACATGTTACAGTTACAGTTACTTAAAAAGTAACGAAACGTTACTTTTCAGTTACTTTTAATAGAACAACATTAACATTATAAAAAAAAGATTTACATTTACGTATCATCTAATTTTATTTTAAAAAAGAAAAGTAATGCGCATATTTA